AGGGTATTTTCTTTTCAAACGGGAATGTTCTTTTGTTAACGGCCTTGTACTTCAGTCTGATTTGGGCACGAAAAATCAACAACAGTTCATCTCGATCGTCAACCATGGTTGGACACTCTTTGGTTAAGAATGACTCTGATTCTCTTTACTTTTTGAACCCATGTGCTTCTCATTACCCACTATTTAATCAGTGACAAAAACTCTTGGGTTATCCCACATTGTTGAGCATCCGTGTGTATCGCAAGGCTTTAACTTCTTATGGTCTGACATTGCGTAAGCCTTATGCTAAAACTATTTTTGGCTTCAGAATATCTGCACTTTCCAAAAAATTTTGTACGATAATGCAAAATGATCTCCTGTTTCCCGAGCTAATTTACATGTTTTTATTTTTAATCAGGATGCTTGCAACGCGATTAAAAACATCTTTTTATTTATAAATAAAGAGTTTTTTTGGTGAATACATGACAAACTTTTAACTGGAATAATCAAAAGAAAATACAGTAGGCATCATCAGATATCAATATTATGAATGCTTTTGAACTGGCACGCCGTAAGAGGACCCGAGTGTAGCTTCTATCAATGGGATCTTGAGGATTATGGTAATGCGTAAGGGTATGAAGCCCCCCTGTACTGCCAAATTCCCGACTGTTGGATGCCATAAGCCAGTGTTTGAATCCTATTTATTTCTGGTTACCCAAGCTTTTCGATTTCCAGCCCTAACCCATGATTACCATTTCAAGCCTTTAAAACTAAGTCATACACGAATTCTGAATTTACACAATTCTCAAGCCGCCTTTTACGGGTTTTCAACCTGAGACATTCTCTGGTTTCAAGACGCCCTTTACGAGTTTTCATCTTGAACCTTCATTTTATTTTTTCTTTTATTTTTTTTTCATTTTTTAGTCTTTTTCATTTTCTTTTTCTTTTTCAGGCGAAATACCTCTTGATTGCATCAACATTCATAGGGTTAAATCTGTTCCATCCATCTTGGTGATGATCAAAGCACCTCCAGAAAATGCCTTCTTTACTACATAAGGTCCTTCCTAATTTGGCATCCATTTACCTCGAAAGTCTTTTTGAATTGACAAAATCTTTCTTAGCACCAAGTCTCCTTCTTGAAACTCTTGTGGGCGAACTTTTTTGTTATGTGCCCTTATTATACGTTTATGGTACATTTTCCCGTGATAGATATATTTTAATCTTTTTTCCTCAATCAGATTCAACTTATTATACCTAGCTTGCACCCATTCAGATTCATCTAGCTTAACCTTTGATAGCACTCTTAGTGATGGAATCTTAACCTCGATGGGTAACACAGCCTCCATCCCATAAACTAAAGAAAACAAAATTACCCCAGTGGACGTCCTCACTGAAGTTCGATAGGCAAACAGAGCGAATGGTAGCTTCTCATGCCAGTCTCTATAATTTTCAGTCATTTTCTATATGAGCCTCTTGATGTTCTTATTGGCTGCCTCTACCACTCCATTCATCTTCGGGCAATAAGTGGTGAAATTATGGTATTTAATCTGGAACTATTTACATATTGATTCCATCGTCTTATTGTTTAAATTCAAGGCAATATCGGTGATGATCATTTCTGGTAGCCCATACCGACAAATAATTTCTCTCTTCAAGAACTTGCAGACTGTTGACTGAGTGACATTTTCATAGGAGGCCACTTCTACCCACTTATTGAAGTAGTATATTGCCATTAGAAGCTTTGGGTGAAATTTGTCCAATGACATCCATACCCTACATAGAGAATGACCACGGAGCAGTCATTAAATGTAATGGATGAGGAGGGGTGTGGAGCTTGTCTCCATAAATCTAGCATTTGTGACATTTTCTGGAGAAATTGATACAATCAGTTTCCAGGGTTGACAAATAATATCCAAATCTCATTATTTGTTTAGCCATTGCATGTCCATTAGCATGGGTACCGCATACTCCTTCATGCACTTCTTCAATGATCGCCCTGGCTTCTTTGGTATCCACACATTGCAACAAGACCTAATCATGACTTTTCTTGTACAAGATCTCACCATCAAGCACATATCCTACAACCATTCTTTGAATTATTCTTTTTTCATTCTCAGTGGCATGCTCAGAGTAGCTTTGATATTTAATATATTGCAGGATATCGTAACACCAGGGATTTCCATCATTTTCTCTTCTATGCTATAGTAATGGGTTGGATACACGTAAGCTTGTATCGTAATATGCATCATGCTTGAATATTCATTGACTTTGTAGGTTGTTCAAAGTGGCCAGAGCATCCGCCATTTGATTCTCTTATCTGGGGTGGTAATGAAATGTCACTCTCTCGAATTCTTTAATGACCTCTAGGACTTACTTACGATATTCCACTAACTTCGTATCATTTGTTTCTCATTCACCTCTGAGTTGATAAATTACCAGTGCTAAATCCCCGTATACTTTGAGTGTTTTTACTTTATGCTCAATGGAAGCTCTAAGACCTAGAATACATGCTTTATACTCGACCATGTTACTTGTGCAATCAAAATTTAATCGGCTGGTGAAAGTATAATGTTTACCACAAGGTGAGACGAGGATTGCCCCAATCCCGTGCCCCAAGGAATTCGAGGCGCTATCAAAATTCATCTTCCACTGTTCAATAGTAGAAGAAACTGTCTCCTCTGTTGAAACAACCATTAAATCTTCATTTGGAAAATCGAAGTTCAGTGGTTCATACTTTTCAGAAGCCCTACTTACAATAAAATCGTCCACAATACTTCTTTTAACTACTTTTTGGCTTACATATTGGATATCAAATTCAGACAATAAGATTTTTCCAACAAGCCAATCTTCCAGATAAAGCAAGTACACCCATTAGATATTTTATAGGATCAAGTTTAGATATCAGCCAAGTAGTGTGATACAACATATATTGTCTGAGCCTTCAGGTAGTCCAAACTAAAGCACAACACAACTTTTCTAATGGTGAGTACCTTGTCTCACAATCAGTGAACTTTTTGGTGAGGTAGTAGATTGCTCTTTCTCTTTTCTCAGTTTGGTTATGCTGCCCTAATACACACCCCATTGAATTCTCAAAGATTGACAAGTAGAGGATTAATGGTTTACCTGATATTGGTGGCATTAAGACTGGAGCATTCGACAAATATCCTTTTATTGCTTCAAAAGCTCATTGACAATCATCGTTCCATACCCCTGGGTTATTTTTACGGAGAAAGTGAAAAATAGGATCGCACTTCTCGATTAATTACGAAATAAATCGGGCGATATAGTTTAATCTTCCCAGGAATCCTCGAACTTCTTTTTGTGTTTGTGGGGGTGGTAAATCCTGAATAGCTTTAACCTTATCAGGATCCACTTCAATCCGTTTTTTGCTTACTACAAACCCTAAGAGTTTTCCTGATGTTACCCCAAAGGTACACTTGCTTGGATTGAGTTTTAACTGGTATTTCCTTAATCTTTAGAAGAGTTTCCTTAAATTCTCGACGTGTTCTTCCTCCATTTTAGCTTTAACAATCATATCATCGACATAGACCTCTATTTCCGTATGCATCATGTCATAGAATAGTGTTACCATGGCCCTTTGATAGGTTGCCCCTGTATTCTTTAGTCCAAACGGCATCACCTTGTAACAGAATATGCCCCACATGGTGACAAATATAGTCTTTTCCATATCATCTGGATGTATCTTTATTTGATTGTAACCTGAAAACCCATCCATAAACGAAAATAGAAAATTTCCAGCCGTATTGTCCACCAGGGTATCTATGTGTGGCTGAGGGAAATTATCTTTTGGACTTGCCCGATTAAGATATCTGTAGTCGATGCACATGCGAAATTTCCCATCTTTCTTTGGTACTGGAACAACGTTTGCTACCCATTCCGGATACTTGGCTTCTTTTAGGAACCCAACATCGAATTGCTTCTTTACTTCTTCTTTAATTTTAAGCAGCATTTCGGGTCGCATCCTTCTGAGCTTTTGTTGTACCGGTTTACATTCGGGCTTTATTGGCAACTTATGTACCACTAACTTAGTGTCTAAACCTGACATGTCCTTATACAACCAAGCAAACACATCTCTGTACTCTCGAAGCAGTTTAATCAGACTTTGTCGTCCCTTAGCAGATATGATGGTGCCAATTTTTATCTCCTTTTTATCTTCCTCTGATCCCAGATTCAAGATCTCAATGGGCTCTTCATGAGGTATAATTTGTTTATCTTCTCTCTCTACCATTTTTAGTAGTTCATAAGGTAAGTCACTTCCCTCATCATTATCATAACCTTCAACTTCCCCTTAACATATGGGTAGCTCAAAATCTATCTTCGGGTCAGAGTCATTAGCATTCATACTATTGATACCTGAGGTCTTGAAAGAATTACGAATGATAGGATATATATACATATACAAATACAGGAGAATCTATCCCATATCAAAATAGAATAAAATAATAATATATAATAGATAAATAAATAAATAAAATATGCAAGTAAATATGTTTGCCATTTCGTGAATTAACAAGAATGCATCATTCATTAAAATAAAAAAACATATAGATTAACCCCTTACTAAAGGTCACCTATTGCCCCAGGGTTTAGACAATAGGGAAAGTTTTTGTGCATTACTCTGAAACAGTTTTTTAAACTACATGTAATTCTTCTGCACTCCAATTGTTTAACACAAAGCCTGGTGGTGCGGGATAAATGCCCATAGCCCTTCCATCTTCGATTCCTTTCTCCGATATCACATTTATACCCAAATCCCTCAGGGCATCTTCAATAACAGGCTCTTTAGATGATCAGACCCCTGAAACATGTGGCCTCCAGATATGAATGTGTCACGCAGCGGTGGGAAAATCATGGGCTTCCACTTAATATCCTCCCTGGCTAACCTGACTTTCCTCTTTTCCTGGCTCTTTTGAAAATTTTCAACTTTTCCTTTAAGGTCGGGTGATATCCCAGACCAAAACAGTCTCATTTAAAACCAGGAAAATTGGACTAATATTCCCCTATAAATGACTCCCTAACCCTCTTCCAACCTTGGCTTCTCTTCCCAAAGTCATTTTCAGTTCCATTTTGGTACAGTTAGACAGCCTAGGCTTCAGAATTTTCTTTCTTTCGGCAACAAAAGTGGCATTAACGAATTCCAGGGCTCTGAAAGAGCACTCGACCGCATCTTCATCTATTTCGACATATGGAGCGGTAGTAGATATGAAAGAAATGATATCTTCCTCGACATTAAGGCATACCAGTCTCCCCTCAATTATAAATTTGAGTTTCTGATGTAGAGTGGATGGCACGGCTCCTGCCTGGTGGATCCAAAGCCTTCCTAACAAGCAGTTATAGGAGGGCATTATATCCATTACAAGGAATTCGACCTCGTAGGTTGATGGGCCTATTATAAGAGGAATATCGATCTTTCCCAGTACCTCATTCTTTGTTTCGTCGAAAGCTCGAACAATGCTTTGGCAATTTCTTATTTGTGTACTGTCGACCGACAGTTTCTTCAAGGTCACTAATGGCATCATATTCAGGGAAAACCGTTTTTATTAGTAATCGTGATAACACATATTCCTTGCACCTGATGGTAATGTGCAGGGCTTTGGGATTGCCCATTATTCTGGACGAGATCTCGTCATCAGAGAAAAAGATGAAATTATCCGCCTGAATTTTTGCAACCAGTAGATCTATCTTTTCTACTGGCATATCTTTCGGTACAAAAGTCTGATTCAAGACTTTCAGTAAGGCATTTTGATTTGCCTCAGAGCTTAATAGTAGAGCCAGGATCGAAATACGAGCTGACAACTTGTGTAGTTGTTCAACGATGCTGTACTCGCTATGCTTCAAGAATTTTAAAAACTCCACGGCCTCATTCTCGGTTACCGGTTCCTTAATTGTTGGCTCATCATCTTTCAACAATATCTCAACCCTTTTCTCTTTATCAACGGCCGCTCTTTTCTCGGATTCACTGGTCTGGTTGGGAGAATAACATCTCCCACTTCTGGTAAAGTGACCTACCTCATCCACCTCTTCCTTAGCAGCCTCTGAACTCTCAACATTCTCTAGTTGGCATCCATACCTCCAAGGGACCTGCTTGTTGTCCTTATAAGGAAAGTACGATGAAGGTGTGATAACCATTTTAGGGATTAACCTTTCCATAGTATGAGCTTTCGGTGTAATGACTAAAGGGGAGTTAGTATTGTAAACTCCCTTGGATGTGCCTTCAGAAGCGCAAATCTCTACCTCTTTCTCTTTCGTAGCTTTATAGTAAAATTCCATGTCTTTATTATCCATCAGCCTTTGAACCAAGGCCTTGAACTCATCACAGTTTTGAATAATATAACCCTCGCAGTGGTGGTAGGGGCAAGCATGTTTATTTTCGTTATCATTAAAGGTCAACCAGCCTACTTTGACCATTTGCCCCCACACCCAATGCATGGGTGACTTCACTTCATTAACTTTGGTTATGACTCTGTTCTCTTTTTCTTTAATAACAATATTAACCCCTGTCCCTACATGGTTCGACAGTGGGTTCTGAGCCATATTAGGCTGCTCACTGTTACCAAAGTTGATGACATTTCTTTGTCTTAATCTCTACACCAACTTTTTAAAGGCCAAACAGTTTTCAATTGAATGCCCTGATGCCCCCGCATGATACTCACATTAAGCATTGATGTCAAACCATTTTGGGTAAGGAGGCTGCATTAGAGAAGTGTGGTAAGGTGACACTACATGTTTGTCGTACAAGATCTGGAATAGTTCTTTATAGGTCATGGGGATTGGGTCAAATTGAACCCTTTTCTTTCCTGTCTTGTTTCTTTTGCCTCTTGCTTAACAAGATTTAGTGCTGACGACGCGGTGGCTTGAGGTCGGGATACTGTAATGTTATTAGAATCATATTTCTTCACAATACTGACCTCATTATCCTTTCTTCTCGCTGGAGGCTTTCGGCTAGATTCTCCCCCATCTTGCTTCCCGCTTTTGATCGCCATCTCGATCATTTCTTCTGCATTGACTATATCAGTAAAATTCTTGGACGAATTTCCAATGAGATGTCCAAAGAACGGGGCCCTCAGGGTATTTATAAAAACATATTAGTTTCGCATATTTTATAATATAATTTGGTTTCGCCTCACATCCGCATCTTTCCACCTTTGGGCATACTGTCTGAAGCTCTCGTTGGATCTTTTTTCCATTCTTTATAATATAATTTGGTTTCGCCTCACATCTTTTATGTGCTTATATTATTCTAAAAAGCCTTAGCCAAATCCTTCTAGGATTTAATTTGAGCCCGACTTAGCTGATTGTACCAACATATTGGTGATCATGCCAGACTTTCTTGAAAACAATGAATTAATAGCTGATCGTTTCCCACATATCCTGTCATTTGTCTACAAAACATGGTAATGTGTACAGAAGGACAACTGGTGCCATCAAATTTCTCAAATTCTGAAACTTTGAACTTCGGTGGAAGCACTAAATCAGGGACCAGCTCTCTGGTGTCGAATTCGTATAGGCTAGCATCTTCTTTCATAGCTCAGAATTCATGCTTCATTTGTTCCCATTCTTTTTTAATCTCCTTATCCTGTTCTTTTTTGTCTTCCTCATCCAAATCAAGGACATCTTCAATTTGTTGCGGGTTTGTAGAAGAGTCAGGTAGGTTCACTTGTATTTTTTTCGGCTGGATGGTCATGGTTTGTTGTCCGTGGATATGCGGTGGTGTGAAGCCAGGGGATATAACGGTTCTTCGGAAACAGGACCGATAACTGAAGCCTCTCCTTGGATTATACTATTTCCCTGTAGCAAACTAGCCAGCTTTTCCATCATGTCGTTTTGGGCCTTTATTATCTGTTCGCGCATATCCTCTTGCGCTTTCTTTAAATTCTCTCATATTTCAGCTTGAGCCTTCTCTATTTGGATAATTCTGTCATCCATTGCCTTTTTTCACGTGTTGTACGGATGCTTATAAGTGTCCAGTATTCTGCCACATAATCTTTTTATTAATCATGGTGTTTTATTAATGAGGTATGAAAAATGTGATTAGAATGTTATTCGTAAAAGTAAATGCGATATAGATGCAATATGAATGCAATGCAAGATGTTGATTCTGGGACAATTCCTTAGAATAACTTTTTATATAGGAAACGAAGCTCAATTACAAGGATTAAACATATAACATATACATCTGAGCTTTCTCTTCTAATTGTTGGATATGTCCCAGTAACTCTAAGATTTTATGGCATTCTTCAGTCTCTGGCTCCAACCCTTCGATCACATCATCAACTTCTTCTGACAGGTTAACCAAATACTGAGCCACTCCTTGAGCCTGCTGTAGGTATCTTGCGATGAGATCCTCCCTTAGCCTAACTCTCCTCTGAGCCTACTCCCAACGATAGCGCCATTGTATAACTCCTTCATAAGGGACTAATGGAAGTTCATTTGCTTTTCTTTAAAAATATTGAACTAAGGCCTCGAGTTCATTCACACGCTTCGTCAATCTTTCTACTTCAGCACGGTTTGAACTACTTTATCAATTTTGATATAGTTGCAAAGCAGTTTCTAAGCTCAAGACTCTATTCTTTAATTTCTCATTCTGGGTTTGATTTTCTTGTAATTATTGTTCAAGGGCATTCTTTTCTCTCGAGAGTAGTTTTGCCTGATGTTTGCTCCATTTGAGTTATTCACTGTTTTCCCTAACTTCTCTTTTCAGTCCTGGCACTTCTTGTCTCCATTCAACAAAAGACTTACTTGAGCTAGCAGCTTTATGATCTTTGATCATTTGCTGGTATGATGATGGGAGATTATTGAAATCCAATCTGAGTTGCTTCTCCACTTTTTCGATCCGGTCAGCTCAGCTCTTTTGGATGTCGATTTCTACGCTCCTCTGGTATGATTCATCCTCCAACCTTTGTAATGTCTTCCTCCACTGTTTCCTCTCGTCATCAAAATCAAGTCTGGCTTGCTCGAGCGGAGACAGAATCACCACCCTGAGGTATTATACCATAGGCTGAGTATTCTATGGGTTTCCTATCGGTATATTATCATTGACTCGGTTGCTTCTCCACTCCTCGTACCCTCGAGATAACCTTGAATCAAAAGTAAAAAGATTTACCCGATGGGTGTGTCTCCAAGCATCGGTGACCCCTTTAACTTTATTCTTGTACAATTCTCCTCTAAGTACGAACTCAGACTTATATAACTCCCATATTGCCGGAATAAACTTCCTCGACCCAAACTACCGGGAAACCAATAACGGGGCATACCCTACATATCCCCAAATACCTGGTAATGAAACCCAATCTCTGTCTCCACATCGATATAATATGTTTGATGAGACGTTCCATGAGGTACACCACATAATGTCACTATCTCAGATGCCTTTAAAGATGACCATCCACTTCTCCTCAGTGAAACCCCCAGGCCACTCCCGAGAAATGAAATCCTTCAACGGTGAAAAACCATCTAAGAAGACCCGACTAGGTGCTCTCTCGATGTGTTTGAAATGACTAAGGATCCAGGTTAGCAACAATGATGCACAACCTATGAAGTGTCATTCCTCTTCTCGTCGGTAAGAGCTCAGGGAACAGAATGTTTATGCTAGGATAGCTGGAACATGATCCACATGTCTATCCAGTCTTTCGAACAGGTCAACCACTGATACATCAATATACCCAAGAACTCTCGAGAAAATGACCAATTCATAGATATCTAAAGAAAAGAAGTCATTCTTCTTTCTTCTGTCAAGATGACGGTCAATCAATTCTTTCAAAAGGGTCCAAGTAATGCATTCGTGGTCTCCTATCTTTTTTATGCCTCTCATAACCCATTCTTCGCTCATGCCAGTCATCAGAATAATTTTCTTCTTAAAGGAATGAGTATTCGACAGTTTGGTGTATACTTTGTCTATCTAGAACCTCGGACAATGAATCAAGGCACAATACTCCTCTATAGTAGGTATAGGTCTACCCGGCCAAATGTAAAACAACTATAAGCGGGATTCCAAAACTGAGCTAGAGCCTAAATAGATTCCGATCAATGGGACATCAAGGAGATATGAAATGTCACCATAGAGTTGATAAAACAACTACTTATCGGAAGCTTCCCATTTTCCCCAAATCTCTTTCAGCTCGTTCAGATCATTCTGACAAACGTTGATGTGAGTATACCCTCTCAGCTCTGATACATACCCTGGCGATAAACTGTCTCCATTTGTTAGTTAGGACTGCTCAGACCATATCAAGACGTCTGCATTGTCCTCTACCTCTTTTTGAATTATTCATTCCATAATACTAGTCTTCTATATGGACATCAGTCATGGATCAACATCAACGAGATGAATAGTGTAATGCAAGATGAGGACAAAGTAAAGAAAATGAAAGAAATTCAGTCAGTAATCATAAATGAATTGATTAAACATAATTCAATTTATCTATAAAACCTACCCCACATGTTAGCAACCCAATCATGCTTTAGTAGATCCTACCCAGTCATGATTTCTACCCATATGCTTTGTTTATAGAACATCCTAACCTCATGCCGTCTAGTTCGCATGCTTATCCAAGAAATTAAACCTAACCGCATGATTTCTAGTTCTCATACATTTATTCGAGAAATTAACTAAAGAATTCTCAAATAAGCTTTTCCTTGTGTACTCTCCTCACAGATCATATGGTCTGGTAAGGTCGTATTGGGTTCTAATTTTACTACATGATGGGTTTGGTTCTAAAGTAAGGGGTCCTCGAATTGTCCTTTGTCGGTGCCCCCTTGGGCTACCAAACCCTCAATCTTGACCCATCACAGTCTTTCATGTCGAGTTCAATTCGAGGGGCACACTTCCTTATGTCATTGTGGAGGTGAAAACCTCACGAGGATCATAAGGCGTGAGCCCAAGGAGCGTTTCACTATCCCGCACGGAGGTGAAAACCACACGAGGGAGTAGTTACTTACTCCTACTTAAATAGGACGGAGCGGGGTTTTAGCTCATGTTATGCAAATGCAGTTGTGCAGTGTGTGAGGAAAAGCGAAAGCAAAACAAACAACACTGAACAAAAAACTCAAGACCCTGAAGAATTATTTACTCTAAAAACATTAACAAATAGATCAGTACAACTATTTAGTGGTTAAGCAAATTACGAGTCAAAATGCAAACATAACTTATTTAAAATCAAACAAGGGATCAAAAACCAAATTAGAATGAACTTGTAATTTTATTTGCAAAGACAATTTATTAATCGACTAATGGCCTGACTCTCTGAAAAAATGTCCCCAGCAGAGTCGCCAAGCTGTCGGAACGGTTTTTTTAAATCACATTCACTTTTAATTAAAATTTATCACAAGAAAGAGATTAATTAAAAATGACGTGGTTTGCAAAATCTCGTATCTCCCCGAAAAAAAACCGTTTCGACAAAACATATAGGTTTTTTTGTAATTTCCAATTTTTTGGGCTATTTTCATATAAATTGTTTAAAATCCAAATAATTTATCAATTTTTAAAATATATTTTTAGTTTTATTTTAATTCTTGTATTTTATTTATTTTTCAACACAAACACTATTTTCTTCAAATGATGTAAATGTCATTCTCATCAATGTATTAGGTATTGCATAATTTATTCTCTTTTGGATAATATTATCTCTAAATAAGGGATATCGACACCTAATTATTTATTGTGTAAATTTATTAAATATTTTATTTAATATTGATATGATATTCAAATGATGTTACTCTTTGACAAGTATTTTAAAATTAAATATATTTTTATTAATATTATATTTATGATATTTCAAATATTATATGATAGAATTTTATGTTATTTTTGAATGAATAAGTTAGGAGTTGATGTTATAGTTTTATTCTTTGATTTATAAGATGTTTCTCATTTAAAAGAAATCGTGTTAGAAGGCTAAATTCATGATCTATAATTTTTATAACTGTTCTACTACCTTTTGATTTATCTTATTATTTACTATAATTTATTTGATAAAATTTCCTACGTAATAACAAATTTGAAAATTGAACATATTAAAGGTTTAAAATCTGACAATTCATAAAAGTTATTTTAAAGAATAATAAGTACACCACACTAATCTAATTTCGGCCCAAGTTTAAAAAAAGATTGAATGTCACATGAGATTACCAAAGCGGTTAATAATTTTTCTTTAAAATAATTTTTCAAAGTCCACATATCATAATGGGGTAATTATAAATCTAAAATAAGTACTATAGTTTAAGTTTACAAAATATGAAGCTCCAAATAGTACAGACTTTCAAAATAAATTTACAAAATAGAGTTACAATTGAGTATAAGTAAGGTTTATGATATACATGCTCTCTATAATAATACACGACATATTCTAATCAACAACAATTGGAACTTTGTTCTTATGATGGTGCTCCTTGATTTTCACCTAAATACCTTCAAATGGAAACATATTTTAAACATTGAGTTATGAGTTCAATGTCGCACAAATAACGCTACTATATTGCAAACATTCATAACATAAGCATGCCAACAATTATGGTCAGAGAAGCAATGCAATCAATGTCGCACATATCCATAATCATATTATAACATCAAGGATGAGGTTCGGGTCACACGTGCATCAAGTGTTCATCCACAACACACAAGTGGACATCATGATGTAGTCTTGGATATGACGTGCATCGCATGACTCTCACCACTCTAACCACTAACGTAGGTACTTTGGATGAGATCCAGGTCACGCACGCATCATGATTTTACATTTAACTGGTTCACAATACCAAGTATCTCGGGTGAGATCTGGTCACATATTCATCAGGAATATTCACTCGACTAGTCTTCTCCTCCAAATTGTAAGATGAGTCTAGGTTACATTAGCATTAGAGAAACATCCAACTAAGATACTTCCAATTTCTCAGTACAATTCAATATTGTCTATTCATAGATACAATTATGTATTTAATTTGTTATTATTGATGATTTGACATGATAGATGATGAGTTAATTAATTTTATATTAAATCAAGATATTCTAAAAGTCATGTTGAGACACTGAAAGAATGCTAGTTAAATGTTACTCTAATGTTGATGTGAGCTAAACTCATCTTATATTATGGAGGAGTATATAACTAGTTGGGTGAACATTCTTGATGTGTGTGTAACTGGAGTCTCATCCAAAGTACTTATCTTAGTTGGCTAGAGGGGTGTGAGTCATGTGATGCACGTGAGGCTTCAGATTACACCATGACGTCCACTTGTGTATTGTGAACGGGAATTTGATGCATATTAATCTCATACTTAATGTTATATTGTGATTGTGAATATGTGCGACATTGATTGTATTTCTTCTTTGGCCATATTCGTTGGCATGTATATGTTATGAATGCATGCAATATACTTAGAGTTATTTATGTGGCACTGAGCTCGTAACTTAGCGTTCAGAATGTATTTTCGTTCGTAGGTATTTAGGTGGAGATCAAGGAGCACCCTCGTTATACCAGAGTTCCAACCGTCGTTGATCATGGTACATCATGTACTATTGTAGAGAGCATGTATATCATAAACCTTACTGTACTTAGTCGGGACTCTATTTTGTAAACTTGTTTTGAGATTTCTAATGTAATATTTAGAGCTCAATATTTCGTAAATTTAAACTATGCTATTTATTTAGGATTTATAGTTATGTGTTATGGTTTATGGGTTTTGAGAAAATGTTTTAAAGAAAAATGATTAATTACTTCGATGATTCCGTGTGATACTTAAATCTTCAAAACTTGAATTAGAATCAAATTAGATTGTTACTATAAAATTTAAAACTATAAATTTTAACTAAAGCATGAGATATTAAAATAGATAAATTTAAGTATCAAATAATTTTATTTATTTTTATACGAGTAATTTTATTATATAATTAATAAATCATGCAAGATTCAATGTACTCGAACTAAAAAAAGAAATGTCCAAAGCAAGTTTGGCCCCATATGTAGTACCTTCACCAAAAGCATGGTGTCACTGATGACATATGGGATGTACTTGTTTTCAGTTTCAAATTTGAGTTTTTTTAAATAAATGCTACTTATATTTATTTCAAATTAATAAAAAAAGGAAAAACAAAATTACACGTAATGATAAAGTTAAAGTTTCATGATATAAGTAATATTATTATGATACGAAATCAATTATATTAAAAAAAAGATGTACACTTTTTGTGTGAAGAAATGACAAACACTAACCCAAAAACAATTTCAAAAGCATAATAAATAATGCACAAGAAAAGCTGGCTAGCCTTTCTTTTATATATATCCACTGTTCATTTCTTTATATTAAAAAGTAAACTACACCTATGATCACCTAACTATGGCCAGATTATATTTTGACCATAATTTTTTTTTTTATCAATCAAACTACTTAACTATTTAAGTATTGCAAATCAATCCATCAACCGCTAACATTTAATGAAAGAGCTGAAGTGGCTGTTAAAAGTAATATAAATTACATATTTAGTCCTTATTGCTTACATATATAAATTACACATTCAATCCTTACACATTCTATCAATTTAGTTATAATTTTATTAAACTATTAAATTTATTAAATTGAATTAAAATTATGATCAAATTGATAGAATGTGCAAGTAATGAGGACTAATATGTAATTAGACTAATTTTTCACAACCACTTCAGCTCTTCCGTTAAATGTTAACAACTGTTAGCTTGATTGACAACACTTAAATAGTTACGTTGTTTAATTGACAAAATTAAAAGATTGATAGTTAAAATAGAATATGTTCATAGTTAAGAGGTCATGGGTGTAATTTACCTAAAAACTAAAGGTAAACTTTTTCATTTGACATTCGTTTTAGATTCAGTATTTTTAGGGTAAACTACACGAGATACCATTTAACTTTTTCCGTTAACTCGTTTATATCATTAAACTTTTAATTTATCAATTATAGCACATAATTTTAATTTTATATTCAATTATGTTACTCCATCGTTAAGTTAATAATGAGACGATGTATGACTAACTGTTGTTAACATGACTTGTCAAACTAAAATGACATCATTTTGGCGACTACTATTAATGTCCAAAATGACGTTTTAGACAATAAACTTTAAGGGTGTATCATTTTTGAGTGAACATATAAATAGTTTACTTCAATGTAAAATTGGTACTAAAATGTTCTCATTTCACTTTTTTTTCTTCTCCTAAGATTGGCTTTCCAGGAAATCTGTTCAAAATCGACAAAAATTTATTTAAAAGTTTGACATATTAATACTTTGATCTCTTTCAATGGTCGTATGATGATGTTAATTTTGAAGTATGTTGTTCATCTTCTTGAAATAATGTTTTTAACCGTTCAAATTTTAAAACAAACTCTCAAAATCTCGTAAATCTAAAAAAACCTCTAAACATCTAAAAAATTAATATTTTTTTGATTAATTTCGTCGATTTTGAATGTATTTCATGAAAAACTTAAATAAAGATCCCTTCAACATAAAATTTATAATTTTCAAAAGGTTTAATACTTTTATAATCCATATGTTTGATAGGAATTTACCACAGTTACACATGCACACATCATACGAAAGGGATCCACTTCAATTTAACCCAATCCATATTTTGATTGGTGCACAGTATCTACATTATCTGATCATGCAAGAATCATAAAAATACAATATAATTATAGTGTAAGGACGCCAATTTTTTTAGTCCCAAGGTTAAAAGTTTTAAAATAGTCAATTGATTATATGATATTATTTTGTTGAGTCTTCTTATAATAAAAGTTATAAAATGATCATTTGACTATTCAAATGTTTTAAACTTGTCTATTTTCATTAAAAAATTTGCAGTCGTCTGAGTTGGACGTTAACATGTTGATTGAGATATGATAAAATTTGATCTCAGAACTATTTGAGTTGTATTTTATGGATCGACTATCCGTTTACATTATGTCTTCAAGTCAGTGCTTGAAATATTATATTATTGACTTAGTGCTTGAAAGCAACGGTAGTGTCAATAGACATCATTAAAATATGATTTTATTATATCTCAGTTCACAGGTTATCATCAAGCTCAGACGACCATCAAATTTTTAACGAAAAATTACGAGTTTAAAATATATGAATAATCGAGTGATCATTTTTGTAATTTTTAATAGTTGATGATTCATAAAACAACACTATAGTCGAATGACCATTTTATAACTTTTAATAATCGAGAATTCTACAAAACACCCTATAATCAGAGACTTATCTATAAATGTATTATATATACGAGGTGCGACATTAACGCCTACCTATACTTTTTTGTGCTTTAAAAAATAGAAATATTCTGAGAGGTGTGGTCAAAACCTGAGAAATTTTGAGGGAAATCGATGGAGAAGCAGCAGCAGAAACATGATGAAGTTCACCATGTCCTGGTTTTACCTTTCCCAATTCAAGGTCACATCAACCCAATGCTTCAATTCTCCAAACGCTTAGCCTCGAAAGGCCTAAAGGTCACCCTCGTCACCACTTCCAAATCCATGCAACCCTCTGCATCTTCAATCGACTTCCAGTCCATCGACTTCCAAGAAGGCGAAGCAACCACCAACATCGACGAATTTATCCGACTTTACGAATCATTGATCCCAGAAAGACTAGCCCAGTTCATCGAGAAGCACCAACATCGAGCTAAAGTGTTGGTTTACGACTCGGGTATGCCGTGGGCGTTGGAAGTGGCTAAACGGTTTGGTTTACAAGGAGCCTCGTTTTTCACCCAGTGTTGGGCAGTGAACGCCATTTTTTATCATTTGAAACTGGGGACTCTTAGTATGCCATCGGAAGAACAGATTCGGACGAATGCCGTTGTTTCGTTGCCGTCAATGCCGGAACTAGAGATCAGTGATTTGCCATCAACTGCGTATGATAAATCAGGGTCGTATCCAGCTTTGTGGAATCTTATGAGAAGCCAGTTCTCAAATTTTCAGGAAGCCGATTGGACCTTCTGTAACACTTACGATAAGCTGGAACACGAGGTTAGCTCCATTCAGATTCTTCAGTATTCTTCTGTTTTACCATTTGCTTGTGCCTTTGAGTCCATTTGTTTCATTCTGCTAATAATTTCTTACAGATAATCAAGTGGTTGGCAAGCAAATGGCCAATCAAGACTATCGGTCCCACAATTCCATCCATGTATTTAGACAAACGATTGAAAGACGACGATGATTATGGTCTCCACCTCTTCGAACCCTACACCGACCTTTGCATCAAGTGGCTAAACTCGAAAGAAACAGGCTCGGTTATCTACGTAGCATTTGGAAGCATAGCCGGTTTAACAGAGCAGCAAATGGGGGAACTGGCCATGGGTTTGAAATCAACCAACAGACACTTCTTGTGGGTAGTTCGAGATACAGAGCAAAATAAGCTTCCCGGTAACTTCATAGGAGAAACATCGGAGAAAGGATTATTGGTTTCATGGAGTCCACAGTTAGATGTTTTGAGTCATAGGGCGGTGGGTTGTTTCATGACTCACTGTGGCTGGAACTCCACGCTCGAGGCATTGAGCTTAGGGGTGCCCATGATTGCGATGCCCCAATGGACTGATCAACCGACCAATGCAAAGTTTGTGGCTGATGTTTGGGAGGTGGGAATCAGAGTTAAAAAGGATGGAAATGGGATCATCACAAAGGAGGAGATTCAACGGTGTGTAAGGGAAGTAATGGAAGGAGATAGAAGCTTGGATATCAAACGGAACTCAGGGAAATGGAAGAAACTAGCCATAGATGCTATTGATGAAGGTGGAAGCTCTGACAAGAATATTGAGGAATTTGTGGCAAAAATTACATGCAATTAGTACCATATCACTCTCCTTATTATGAATAAGTTTTTTAGATGAATTTGCTCTTTGTATTCCAACAAATCAAAATCACCCTAGCTTTTTATGCAAGAGTATATGAGAGCTATTTACAACTCAATCCAACCCCTATACAAGTAAATCCCAATTCAAACAGATGTTACTATGCCTAAACAATTGACTATACTTGATTCTACCTCCAAGTTTAAGTTTAACAATCTCTTGTACCTGCTTGAAAACCATCTCAACAGAGGACTCAATTTGCTTGAAAAATCTTTTGTTTCTTTCCTTCCACAGCACGAAGACACATCCATTCCAAGCTAACTTTAAAATCATAGCCGCAAGAGATCGTCCTTTCAAATTGTTGCACACCCAAAACAATTCATAATCCCAACTCAAGACTACTCTTGTAATCCCGTGAGCACATAAAGAAGCATTCCACGTGACCTTTGAAAATTCACACTAAAAAAAGAGACTCAACCTCCCTTTTACAAAGCAAGCACAATTCACCAACATTCATCCCAAAAGACACCGATATGCTCCTTGTTGACAGTTTATCTACAGTGGCTATCCAAGCAACCATGGAATTCCTAGGAACATTCCCAGGGTGCCAAATGATCCTCTCCCAGGTAATCTTTGGCCCTTGCTCCTTAACAGCTTTCCAAATGTTCGAGATGAAATTTAGAACAGCATGTAATAAATCAGGCAAAAGAGCAGTCATATCACGAAGATGCACCAGATTTCTCCAGGTCCAGCTGCAATGATGAGGACAAGCATGCAGCCAAAAAGAGATACCCTTAAGAACATATTCCTGAATCCATGCAATCCAAATAGACCCCTCATTAAGCAGCAGCCTACGAATCAAAAATAGAGAGCACGCTTTGTTCCAAACTTTCAAATTATGTAAGCCTAGGCCTCCCTCAGATTTGGGAGTGTATATCTTTACCCAACAAACTCTAGCACCCTTTATAAGCTTATCTTTCCCCTTCCAGAAAAACATGTAACATGGTTAATACGCTTAACCACAGCAAGTTCGAAGGAGCTGTACTTTTATCAATTAATATGTGTACTTTTATTTAATTTTTTTAAATTTTTGAATAGTATGAGATGACTATAAGATAGTGTCTGTTTAGAATATTTTTAATTAATTGATAACACATACACACTCTGCAAATATAACTATTCAAAGTTATGACTTCTAAATAGAATAATATTCACTTTTTATCAAATATGTATACTTAAAGTTGGTGATTTCCAATCCTGTTACCCTATTTTTTTAGATTTTAATTATTTAAATAATGGTAGTGAAATTTATTTAATCATACTATTAATCAATGATCGTGCGATAAATATAAATTTAACTCTTATTTTCTAATTTCATCCATTTAAGTTGTTCCAATCTAGGTATATTGTTTATGTATTATCTTCTTAGGTTATGACTTCATTTTCAAATTCTAAAAACTATAAAATCTAAAAGTTAACTAAATTAGAGTATAATAACTAAATCTATAACATATATATATTACCGATGTTAATCATAAAATTTGACTCATTAATAGTATCTGGGGATGGTTGTGGGTTAGATATCTATAATTTTGTTTGATGATCTAAATTAGCAAATCTCTTAACAATTTAAATTAAGTATTATATTTGAATTTGAAATTTTAAATCATATGTGAATATCTGAAGCAAATATATTTTTCATTTGTAGTATAGAGTAGAAGCCGAATACTTTAATCTGTAATTTACATCTGCATAAATGATATTATTCGAATAATAAATATTTTAAGATGATTATTCATATCTGTTTCTAATCTGTAGCGGATAATAATTTTAACATCTAAACCAATAAAAATTCAATTGAATAATAGACAGGATGGAGGTAATGTAGGAGACCGTGACGAAGCTATGCTTGGCCTCGGGGCTACTACCCCATATTTTTTTTATTGAAATATATATGAATAAATATTAAATTAGAGATCTAAATTTTAGTTTATTTTGATTTTGTTCCCTCATTTCTATGGTTAATTATATTTTTGTCCCTCTCATTTTTTATAATTAATTATACTTTGTCCTCTTAAATTAGAGTCGTGGTTCCGTTCCTTGTAGGAGAGTTATTAAACTCCCTTTAATCATAATCACTTTTTTTAGAGGAAAGAGAACAGTTCGCTGCTGGCCTGAGAAGAAATTCAAATCCAAAACAAGAATTTGTCAGATTTGAGAAGGATTGAGAAATTAACAAGAAGATGAAGTATGTGTAATAGAAAAAAGAAGGTTATCATCAGGGAAGCAAAGAATACTTGGGACTTTGGTAAGAAGTTGGGCATGAGGGTGGTGGGAGATGAGAGAAACTTTTGAAGAATTGGTGAGATTTGAGTAGTGGCATATGTTGAATTCATGTCAACTTTTATTAATAAACATGATCACTCCCAACTCTATTAGAAAAAAATTAATTAAAATATAAATGTCTAAATTATATATTTTATATATTTAAGGTGTTTCATTTTTTGGGTAAAGCACACAAATGGTTTCCAACTATAAGATATTGTTTTGTTGAATTCATATATTTTGTTGCCCACCCATTGATCTGCCATCGTCCTTATCCTTGTCTCAATCCCCTATATCTCTAAATTCTTAAAATCCTTAATACGCAAATCTCTAATCTCTAATCCATAATCCTTTCCTTATCTAGTCCCCAGAAACTCATCACGACTACGATAAGGGGGAAGGGGCGGTTGGAAGGGGGATGGATTAGGGATTAAGGTTCGGGTACTAAAGATTTTAAGGATTTAAATTTTAGGGATTTAGGAATTGGGCGACAACAAGTGTAATCATCAATTAGTGAATAGGCGACGATAAGAGGGTGGTCGTTCGATGATAGCGACAACATCAGAAGATGGCCGACGATAATAACTAAGAGTTTGGAGCTAGGAAGGTTGAGAGTTTAAAATGTTTTTCTCGAGATTTTAGATTTTTTTGGAGATTTAAAAAAATAATTTTAAATTTCTAAATAATTGTTTTTAAAAAAATTATAAATCCACCAAGTATCATTAAAATAGTAATGGAAAAAAATATTAGGCACCTAAAATGAATAAGAAGAATAGTTTAAATATTTATTTTTTATTAAACCGTAAAAAATATCTTTTAAAATTTTGGTATAAATTGATTTTTAGTCCTTGATATTCTTTAATTTGATTTGTAGGTTTTTACTTATGTTATTAATCTCTAAATTGATATTTTTTAATGAAACATGTCACAATTTACAAGAGGCATGACACTAAAATGTTCAAAACTTAAAAGAGTAATATGCTTGTGGATAATTTTTTTTAAAAGAAAAAGAGAGAAGAGTAGATTGTACCCAAAGTTCAATGTGAATTCAAACTTAAATTCAATATAAATCTTGTCATTATAGGTTATTTCATAATTAATTTTTAATTCAATTGACTAATACCATTAATAAATTTGTTTAAAAATTAGATTCCCTGCTTGACCCAACAGATAGGAATAGGCCTGTAAACGAACCGAACGCACGCGAACGGATATGTTCATGTTCGTTAGTTTATTAAATAAACGAACGACACGAACATAAATGAACAAAAAAAATTGTTCATGTTCGTTCATTAAGGAATATAGTTCGTTCATTTAAATGATAAATGAACACAAATGAACTAACATAAATGAACATAAACAAATAACACAAACACTAAAAACAAACTTATTCGAACACAACAAATGAATGTAAAAAAAGTAAACAACAAGAATAACAACTTAAAATTCATTAATATAACCATCAATTTTAGAGTTAATTTGTTCGAATACGACAAAAACATACATAAATCATAAATAAGATATATGAACATAATAAAGTCTTAAAGTTAATTTGTTCAACAAAAGAATTTTCTTGAAATCCAAACAACTTTAATAATATTCGTAACAAATTCAATTTGTCCTCTGTTCTAACATAAATGAACGAACATATAATCGAACGTTCACGAACGTAAATGAATAAACGAGCCCTTTGTTCATGTTCGTTCATTTAATTAAACGAACGCAAAATCTTGTTCATGTTCGTTCATTTAATTAAACGAACGCAAAATCTTATTCATGTTCGTTCATTTAATAAATAAACGAACATAAACGAACTTCCCGCCGCATGGTTCATGAACGGTTCGCTGAACGTTCAGTTCATTTACAAGACTAGATAGGAATTAAAAATCTATTAGTAATTAAAAATAATTTTGCTACTTTTAATTATTAAAATCTACAAGTATTTAAAAAGTAATTTTTTTTGCTCCATAGAAAATGACATCCAACAGATGGAGGAAATGGATCCCTACATTCCCTCAATCCTGGACTACGACTTCCCTACTAAAGTAATTAGCGGTCGAAAATGAAATAACCAAGCAAAATAGCAATCAATTTAAATCATATAAAGCAATATGGGGGCACTTTGTGTGCGTGTGATTTAAATCATATAAATCAATTTAAAATCTAGAAATAACCAATTTGGTTATTACACAAACCTCAAGGCTAGACTATTCCTCTGTGAGCGTGTGTTTATATATATATATATATATATATATATATATATATATATATATATATATATATATATATATATATATATATATATATATATGTTTTAAATACTCTCAACTATTTGACAATAAACGTACAATCACCCTTGCAATTGCTGATGCTCAAATTCAAAATTTCTATGAACAACAATGATTACTTTAACCACTGAGATAAATTAATTCGTATAAATATAATATATTTTTAACCAACAACTAGTGGTATTAAACCTATAATTTTTACCTCTTTCTTCACAGGCTTCTTTATAAAACAAAAGTGGCCAAAGGTCTAGAAAACTGACTCATTGATACTTGAGTCTACCATTAAGATTTAATTAATGAGCATCTCCACATTTATTGTAACACCCCAATTTAGGGGCTAAATTTTAGGAATTTTAAAGTGGTGAATTTAATTTTGGTATTTTGGAAGAACATTGAGGATTAAATTGTAAAATCGTAAAGTTATCAGATCATTTTAAGAAGTACAGGAAGTTTAGTGACTAAATTCATGGTTTACCCATTTTCTTTATGGGATGAATTAT